AAGCCGCTCGGATTGCTTCATATGAGACCGCACCAACACTGGCTCCACGATCGAGTCCCGAGATGGGCGTGGCAGAGCGGCTCGTGCTGGGTTCCAGGAACTCTGTGGTCTCCACGGATGGCCCCATCACCGGCTGGGGGGCCACGTACAACTGGGCATGCAGCTTCAGGTCTGTGGACGGGGCCTCAACTGCATTGGCACATCAACTGCCTCGAGTTGTTAGCAGTACATCTTGCGTTGGGCCGCTTCAAAACATCGCTACAAGGCAAGCATGTACTGGTCCGTACGGACAACACTGCGACCGTTGCATACATCAACCGTCAGGGTGGTCTACGCTCCCGCCGCATGTCACAACTCGCCCGCCATCTCCTTCTTTGGAGTCAGAAGCATCTGAGGTCGCTTCGTGCCGTTTACATTCCGGGCCTGCTCAACCGTGCAGCCGACGAGCTCTCACTGCAGCAGGTGCTACCAGGAGAATGGCGACTCCATCCCCAGGTGGTCCAGCTGATTTTCAGGCGCTTCGGGACCGCACAGATAGATCTGTTCGCCGCCCCGGACACGTCTCACTGCCAGTTGTTCTATTCCCTGACCGAGGGGACCCTCGGCACGGATGCTCTGGCACACAGCTGGCCCCGGGGTCTTCGCAAGTATGCGTTTCCCCAGTGAGCCTTCTGGCACAGACCTTGTGCAAAGTCAGGGAGGACGAGGAGCAGGTCTTGTTAGTTGCGCCGTATTGGCCCAAACGGACCTGGTTCCCTCCCTGGCCCATCCCTCTGAGAGAGGACCTGCTCTCTGGATGGGACGCGGAGGTTCTAGGTGACCTACCCCCAGTGGTAGTTGACACCATCACTTCCGCTAGAGCCCCCTCTACGAGGCGCCTCTATGCTTTGAAGTGGAACCTATTCGTTGTTTGGTGTTCTTCTCACGAGGAGAACCCCCGATCTTGCTCGATCAGAGCCGTGCTTTCCTTCCTGCAAGATGGGTTGGAGCGAAGGCTGTCTCCCTCCACCCTTAAAGTGTATGTTGCCGCTATTGCCGCACATCACGACGCTGTTGATGGTAAGTCTTTGGGGAAACACGACCTGATCGTCAGGTTCCTGAGGGGAGCGAGGAGACTGAATCCTCCTCGCCCACTCTCTATACCCTCTTGGGATTTGTCTCTGGTCCTTTCGACACTTCAGAGACCACCCTTTGAGCCTCTGCAATCAGCTGAGTTAAAAATCTTGTCCTGTAAGACAGTTCTCCTGGTTGCATTGGCCTCTATCAAGAGGGTAGGGGACCTGCATGCATTTTCGGTCGACAAATCGTGCCTGGAATTCGGCCCGGATAACTCTCACGTGATCCTGAGACCCCGGCCCAGATACGTGCCCAAGGTTCCTACCACTCCCTTCCGGGACCAGGTGGTGAACCTGCAAGCGCTGCCTTCGGAGGAGGCAGACCCAGCCCTGGCTTTTCTCTGTCCCGTCCGCGCTCTGCGCCTGTACGTGGACAGAACGCACAGCCTCAGGACCTCAGATCAGCTCTTCGTCTGTTACGGAGGCCAGCAGAAGGGGAAGGCTGTCTCCAAGCAGAGGATGGCCCACTGGATAGTGGATGCCATCGCCTTGGCTTACGAAGCCCAAGGTGTGCCTTGCCCGCCCGGGTTGAGAGCCCACTCCACTAGGAGTGTCGCTTCTTCTTGGGCGCTGGCACACGGCGCCTCGCTGACAGATATCTGTAGAGCTGCGGGCTGGGCGACACCTAACACGTTCGCTAGGTTTTATAGCCTACGTGTTGAGCCGGTTTCTTCCTGTGTGCTCGCTTCAACTAGCCGGTAACACCGAAGTTCCCGCTCTAGTGTCGGCTTGTTGCGCCACTCCCCTCCACGGAGCGGATACGTGCGCTTTTTTTCTCCAGTCGAGTTCCCCAGCCAGGCGAACCCTGTGAGTTCCTCCACACCCCTTCTGCAGTCGGACGTTGCGGAGCGTCCGACGCCAGGCCTAGTGCTCGTATGCTTGTGTAACTTGTGCTAGGCTGGGTTCCATATGTGTGATCCCTGCGGCGATCCCATATGAGTATTCTTCCACGACCAGCTCCCTGCGGTGAGCCCGTGTCTTTCCTTTGGCATAGCCTGCTCTGCCGTCACTGCCCGGTGTTGTCTCCCCCTTCTCAGGCTGGAGTCACCCCAGTGACATTCCATATGTTGCACTGCCCCTTCGGCCAGTCCATATGTGTATTCTCCACATGTTACCTCCCTTCGGGCAGGATGTGGCTTACGCAGCGTATCCTTTCCCCGGAAAGGCACGCTTCCCAGTGTATCCAAGAGTTCACGGTGTGGGTATATGGAACTGCATTTGAACTCCCTCTACGCAGATCTTCCGCCCCAGCAGTTGGGGGTCTGAGAGTCTTGCGTAGGGCGCTGGATGTGGCAGCAACCGATGGCGTTTTCCATGGGATCCCCTAATGTCGTCACGTCGACGCCACAGTTGCTGACCATCGCTGTACGGCCGTCACTATCTCGGCTCCTCAGTGAAAAACAGTGGGTGCGCGCGCCCGCTTCCTGTTTTATAACCGCGGGGCGGGGGCGCGTGACGCATTCACGCACGCCAACGCTCATTGGCTTGTTCTTTAGATACTCGAAGTTGATAGGGCTCCCTGAAGTGATCCCCTAACGTCGTCACGTCGACGTCACGTCTCCCGTTCCCTCCTTCTGGGAACGAGGGTTACATCAGTAACCGAGACGTTTTGGTTCCTTGCCACTGTTGCCTTGGCTTTTGGCTTGCTTAGTTGGGGACATTTAATATTCAACAATATTATTGATCTACCTTACTTAAGGTGGACGTTGATGCAATTTTCTTCTAGAAACAAACTTTGTTGTATTATTTTCATGTTATCACTGTGAAGCTGCTTTGATACAATCTGTATTGTAAAAAGCGCTATACAAATAAAAGTGACTTGACTTGACTTAAGCTATCAAAGTTGAATGCACTGTTCAAGAAATGTGTCCATGAAACAGAAGGAATTGACATCTCCTCTTATAAATCTGGTTTCTTAAAAAGACTGGTTGTGATGTTGAGGATTTGTCTAACTATAGGCCTATTGCCCATCTACCTTTTCTGGCTAAGGTCCTGGAACGAGTTGTAGTTGGCCAGCAATACCTGTCCAAAACAAATCTCCTAGAACCATTTCAGTCTGGATTTAGATCAGGTCAAAGTACTGAGACTGCTCTTGTCCGGGTCACAAATGATCTTCTCATTTCTGCTGATATGGGTGCCTGTAGTATTTTAGTCTTGTTAGACATCACTGCTGCTTTTGACACAATATCTCATGCTGTCCTTCTTGACAGATTGTCTGTATGGTTAGGAATCTCTGGTACTGCGTTTGAATGGTTTACATTCTATCTCACTAATCGATTCCAGTTTGTGTCTTTGGGGAAAAACAAATCTATACCAAGACTAGTTCAGCAGGGTGTCCCACAAGGGTCTGTGCTTGGTCCCATCTTATTTAGCATTTATATGTTGCCTTTGAGTGACATCATTCGTAAGTTTGGGTTAGGGTTTCATTGTTATGCTGACGATACGCACATCTATATCAGCATGCACCCTAATACAAACCTTGCAGTTCTTACCACTTGCCTGGATGAGAGAAAAACCTGGATGCATGACAACTTTCTTAATCTTAACGAATCAAAAACAGAACTTCTATTCGTCGGTATGTCAACGGGTTTACTTAAACTTAACAGTTCAAATTTGATTAATGGCCATGACTTTGTTACTCCGTCCTCTAAAGTGCGCAATCTTGGCGTTATCTTTGACCCAGAACTGATGTTCGATGCCCATATTAAAATGATATCAAAAACTGCATTTTTCCATCTTAGAAATATCGTTAGACTACGATCTTTTCTATCGCTCCGATATGCAGAAAGGCTTATTCACGCCTTTATTACGTTGAAGCTTGATTATTGCAATGCACTCTATGCTGGTCTCCCAAATCGATCCATCAAAAAATTACAATATATAAAAAATTCAGCCGCCCGGCTATTGACGCATACAACTGCTCGACAACATATTTCCCCTGTACTCCATGACTGGCACTGGCTGCCTATACAAGCACATTTCGAATTCAAAACACTGGTTTTAACGTATAAAGCTATCCATGGGACGGCCCCTGCCTATTTCTGCAGTTTAGTTACCTCTCACACTCCAGCTCGCTCTCTGCGCTCTTCTAGGTCATGCATCCTTTAGCAGCCTCTATATAAATTAAAGTCAATGGGTAGTCGAGCATTTTCGGTCTCAGCACGTCTATGGAATGCTCTACCATCGGGAATTAGAGACTCTCCAACATTGGACTGCTTTAAGATTTGTGTATTGTAGCGCTTTGAGTCTAAGAAAAGCGCGTTAGAAATAAGAATTATTATTATTATTATATGCACGCAGAGGAGAACTTCTCTCGAAAAATCTGCCTAAAATCTGAAAAATGCCTAATTTACAACATGCACATGAATTTGTTTGTGAATTTGAAGTAAGTATGAAGTAAGTAAAGTAAGTATGTGTCAGTTCAGAGATTTTAGTGCTCGTTACATGTCTGTGTTATTGGTTGTTGTCTCCCCTCTTCCCACCCTCTACACTCCCACTGTTCCACACCTTTTTTTTATATCTGAGGAGTTTCATGTCACTTTAAATCTAAATCTGGCCCTATACTCATGAATACAAGTGAAGTGAGTTTTAAAGACAATGGTTTGTTTGATAGGACCACAAAGTAAAGGGTAGATAGTACTTGAAATGTAAGTGCTATTTTATATTATTCCACAAAACAAACCATATGAATGTACGGTCATATATGCATGTGGAAATGTATATAACAAATGTCCCTCCATGTTGGAGGGATGAGGTCATTGCGTAACATGCTACTGGCATGTACTGTAGGTGTGTCAGAAGGTGTGGAACTAGCCCTTCACCAGCAGGATAGTGGTATCACATGGGCTCAGATAGAGTTACATCATGAATAATTACACACTCACACTGAGATCAAACTCAGTAAGGCTCATTTCAGCCTTACACAAGTCAAAAAATGGACATAGCCGTCCTGCCGAACAACAATCATCCAGAGAAGTTTCTGCAGCTGGATGTGGGAATGCTACCGGCTACACATGGCATGTTCCAGATTGGCACGGTGTTGTCTCGCCAAAGGCAGTGGCACAACCGGATGTACTCGCAGGTAAACGCTGGTAGCATAGAGCAGGTAAACGCTGTTAGCATACACACTCAAGCTGCTGTAGAAACAGTCTGACTGAGGGACAGTATTTGTTATCGGGAACTCAATGTATTCAGTCTTTAGTCTTCACTTGCTTATTAAACCTAACTTAATACAAACAAACAAAAAAAAACTGCACTAAGTGTTTAATTACATTTTTTATTTTATGTTACCTAATTCAGTTTGATTTAACTCATTGGACTTAGCATACTCCTTCTAAATTTGTCAAGAAGAACCTTGATGAACACTTCAGTAGTTGCTGTATTTCTTTTGACTTTAGGTGCTTTTTTCCAATAATGTCTTCAGTTTGGTCTACAATGTCAACAATCTGTTCACTCCGAGCAGAATTAGTATTTTAACGTTTCTGTTCATGGGTTCATTCTGTAACATTATTGTTCTGAAAATGGTTTGATTAGAAAAAGAAAAGTTAATAACAGGGTTTTGTTTGCCTATACTTTATACCAGAGCTTATATTGAACTTTATACTAAGAGCTTGTGACTGAACCTCGTAACTCCAGCGGATCCTCAAACTGTCGCTGACCTCATACAACAGCTCAACCTGCCTCAATTGTGAATGAAGTGCTGCACGCATTTTGAAGACGGTCTCTGCTTGTTTGCAGTGAAAGGGTTAATCATTAAAAAAAATATATATATATATATATATCCTGAATAGTACCGGCTCTATACTAACCTGCAATTTTCGCTGGTTTCAAAACACACCATGCTGGATATAACCTGCCAAATATATCCCCAGAAATGGAATTCAAATTCATCAAATATAATATAAAATAAAAATGACCTTGCCTTTTGGAAAATATCTTTTTAAATACCACCCATATCGGTGCTTATCCACCTTATTTTGCAACACAAAAGAGTCAGATACAACTGAAATGGTTAATGAATGAACGTAACTTTTGGCCCTCTAGTGGTTAAAAAACAAAACTGCATGCATTTTGGGGAAGAACATTGTTTTGGTTTTGCTTTGGCTCTGCGTGACTGTGCGGATGAATATGATTATCCTACCGCTCATAAAACATTCACTACTAGGCTTAAGAGATATAACCAGTGTAGATGGAAAGGATCTTAAGCTGACTGTAGACGTAACTACTTGGTTACTCACATAACCTCAGTTCCCTGAGTTAGGGAACAAAGTATTGCGTAGCTGTACGCAGTGGGAAAACTTCTTTTTCTCAATTTACTGAAACCTATATGTAAAACGCATTTGCAGCTGCACAGCCAGCCCATTGAGCGTCTGGCTCGCTCATAGGCTGTGCTGCAGCAACTGCACATCCAATGGCGCGGGCGCCTCTCATTGCGACCAATGAGACCACTCTACGTCATTACACGTCATAGCCCGTCAAGGGGCGTGGCCTCAGCCTATATTAGTCCCCGAATTCGCCATTATAGCAGGTTTATACGAATGAGGCGACAACTAGCCAGTTAGTACAGTGCGGCCGGCTACGCAATACTTTGTTCCCTAACTCAGGGAACTGAGGTTACGTGAGTAACCAAGTAGTTCCCTTTCGAACGGTCACTTCGTATTGCGTAGCTATACGCAGTGGGAACGCTATGCAAAACGCCGCACCGAGTAACTGGTTGCCACTGCAGCTCAGGACCCCTGAGCATACAGAAGAAGCCATAATCCTAACATGTATTCATCAGACCAGACACCGTCAGATCTAAAATAATACATCTGAGTCAGTAATCACCAACATATTACACCAATAAACCCAGACACTGTCAGGGCTAATAGTATATGACAATACAACCAGCCAAAGCGGGTTTTATATGTATGTGAAAATATAACCGGCCAAAGCGTGTCTCGTATATATATATGTGAATGTGATTGTGCACAGTAATATTAATGACAGGACCGGACACAGTCGGGCCCTAATCATACCGAAAGAACCTTCGCCTGTATGGAAGGCACCTCCATATTATAGACCGGCCGCATCACAAATATCCTGAATGGGACAGCCAAATGACCAAGCCCATGACGAGGCGATGCCTCTGGTCGAACCCTGAATATCTATAGGGCAAACCTGACCCACTGAGGTATAAGCCATCACAATAGTGTCCACTATCCATTTAGACAGTCTTTGCTTAGTGACTGAATCCCCTTTGGATCGACCACCAAAGCAGACAAAAAGCTGTTTAGTTTAGTTTATTTGTTTAGCACGTTTAGTACAAGTACAGAACAATGCAAGGAGGGAATGAAGCCACTCTAGGCTTGTACAGAGTTCCACTCCTGCTCCTATTAACTCATGAGACATGCAGACTAAACATCAAAAAAGAAGAATAAACAAAATTCACAATAAAAAAACAAACAACAAACGATACAAAGCAATTCAATACAAGCAAACAATACCTAGAAAAAACTACATAAAGGCGTCAGGCTAGCAATAGTAGTCTCTGTACATGTGAAATAGGGATAAACAAACTCTGAAAAGAGTCTGGTAGATCTTGTTTCCTATATATAAACTTATGCATAAGTAAACATGTTTGATAAATATTTACCTTATCAATAGGGAGAACTTTAAATGTATTATAAAGGGGTGCCGAGGGTGCATATCTATTAGAATGAGAAATAAATCTGAGATATTTCTTCTGTATGACTATTAATTTTTTCAGGTAGGTAGGCAGAGCCGGATTATCCATAAGGGCACTTGGGCCAGTGCCCAGGGGCACCAACCATTCACAACCACTAGGGGGGCACCACATGAGTCAAGCTTTAAAAATATTTTTCGTAAATTGTTATATTATTAACTTGAAATTCTTGACAGACCATAAATAAATCGTTTATGAACACTAATTTAACAATAATAATAACAATAATGATTTAATAATAAATTATAAATAAATAAAGATTACATGACCACTATCACTCCCCCCTCCCCAATCTGTCAGAGTTGCGTTGGTCCACAACAAATACGTGCAAATGTGTCATTTTTTTAACGGCTACAAAAAAATGAATTAAAATCAAAACTGGACAGACGTCAATTGAGTGGTTTTGCAAAAAGAAAGTTAAAGAAAGACAAGGACGCTAGACGTAGCTACAATTCACAATGTTCCAGGTATCGAAAGATTTTTTGTGAGAACATCACGGGAATTGCTATCACTAGCAGCGCTGAGTCTGACGAAGCCGGAGCTAACTGTGGAGACGGTAACAAAGAAATGGACTTTGGGGATGTAGTTGACACCTTTCCTTGCGCAAAATCAAGGAAGGAGCAGTTCTGCTAAACTTAATACATGAAAACGTTTTACCAGATTTAGTGCTACACTTATTGTCTCTTATTTGTTCCTCACTAAATAAGGTTTTTTTTTTCACTAAATGTTCGATTTTATACAATTATTGTGCACTTGTGATTTTTCTAGACTAAATTTTACTGCTGAGTTACCCACTAATCTAGTTTATATAATAGAATTTTTGTCATAGGTTATGATCATATTTTTTTTTATTTGTTGTTTTTCTTTATAATGAAGTTGTCTGTATTAAGTAGATTATGTTTAACAGAAAATAGTGATTATCAGTTCAACACACAGAGTTATAGAAATTCTACTTGATTTTTTTTTTTTTTAACTGCGCTGGTATCGGATCGGTATAATTCAATACTAAGAATTTTTGGTATCGGATTGGATCGGTTCAGAAGAAATGGTATCGGGACATCCCTAATATTTTCTGGTAGGCTATATCTAAGTTACCCAGGAGCTCTGTTGACATAGGCTTAGCTAACGTTAGCTACAGCTTGATGAATTGAGTTGAACAGAGCAGGAGAGAACGCAACATTAGCCAGCTAGCTAAAGCTCTGGTGGGAAATTATTAGCTAACGCTACGGAGGCCATAATATTTTTGACTCATGGCTGAAGTTAAGTTTCTCCAACTCTCCCCAGGTTGGCAAAAAAAAATGCATCTCAAAATGCATCAGATTGATGCTATAAAATATGGAATATTTAAAAAATTTCTTCCGGGGGGGCATGCCCCCGGACCCCCCTAGAGGGGTAATATCCTTCTCACCTTTTTCACCCCTGACCCCTTTTCATGCCTGTAGAGGTAAGAAACCTGATAGATTTATTATTATTTTTGGGCAAACATGAATTGACGCTGTCAATTAATTTATGTACATTTTTAATTGACACATTTGAATATAGGGGGCCTTTTGAGGTATAGTGCCCAGGGGCACCACACTGTCTTAATACGGCCCTGTAGGTAGGATAGGTAGCTGCCCAGACAATATTGCAATAATGAATGAATGGAAACAAAAAACTATAATATAAGGTTAAAAATGCTGAAGAATGAACTAAAGGACAAACCCTCCTCAATATTCCCAACATTTTAGCTTACCTCTTAGATACGAAGTTGATATGGTTTGACCACTTAAGACCACTTTCCTCATTGACCGTTTTTATTAAAATATTGAAGTCTTGGTGAGAAGCTACGAGATTTGTATAATCTGCGAATAGTACTGGGAGGAGTTTGGTACAAGTCGTAGCCATATCATTAATATAAATTAAAAATAAAAGAGGCCCCAAAATTGATCCTTGAGGGACCCCAATCATAATTTGTGACTTCATTGAGGTATAACCTTCCAGGTAAACATATTGCTCTCTATTAGCTAAGTAGCTTCTAAACCATCTCAAGGCAACATCCTCCACTCCGTATCTACTAAGTTTGGCAATCAAAATATTGTGACTGACCGTATCAAATGCCTTACTCAAGTCCAGGAAGACTCCAAAAGCAATTTTTTTATTATCATGAGCTGAAGAAATGTAGTTCACAAGTTGAATAAGGGCATGCTCAGTAGAGTGTCGCTTCCGAAAACCATATTGATGTTTGTATAAAATATTATTGGCATCCAAGTGATTAAATAATCTCGAATAGACAAGTCTTTCTAAGATTTTCGATATACACGGGAGAATTGATATTGGCCTATAATTACCAAATTCCTTGGAGTGATAAAGTAATA